TCATTGGTTCCCAGTTATGTAAATCGATACTCATGCTGTTGATCACTGGATTGTCTGGTCCAGACTCGATTATTTCCAGACCGCCGCCATATAGCTGGAATATTGCTGAGTGCGGCATAAAACTAGCCTCACTCACTTAATCCCAGGAATCAAGTTGCTAACTTCTGAATTTCAAAATTTAATTTAACTTTGCCAACAAGATAGATACAGAAGATGAAAACATGACTGACTTTGAGAATTATACCAGTATTTTCCAAACACATTGTGATACATATTCATTGCCATTTCAAATCATGATAGACTAATAATACCATTCACCTCTATGGTCTGGCAATGTAGTCAACATGTAAGTTATTCCACCCACCGTCTAACCCTGTTGATATGATCCATTCATGTTGATGATAGACCCACAACAACAAAAACATTCTCCTAGCATACTGCTCAGTGCTCCCATTAGACTTGCTCCAATGCTATACTGAATTCTACCCTTTAAAGATACAAGTTTACAGTCAGGCACAAAACTTTTCGTGACGGTGTTTGGTCACTTTACTCAAAAACTACAAGTACAATTGTTTCCTAATTTGGCATGATGCATTATAATTGTTCCATTGTGAATTTTTAATTTCATGAATTATGATTTAAAAATAAAAAAGTCGTTTAACAAACTATCATTACAATATTAACACAGTTCACTATTTGTTATGAGGGAGGAGTGCAGAGAGAGGAACAGCCAGGTGTGCTATTGATTCATTTACCTGTGCTGAGCCTTTCTCACATAACTGGCTCACACTCTTTATCCCTGGATTGTCTGGTCCAGACCCAATTATTTACAGACCGCCGCCGCCATATAGCTGGAATATTGCTGAGTGTAGTGTAAAACTAAACTGGATCTGTAAGTAATTATGTCAGGACCAGACAATCCAGTGATCAACAGCATGAGCATCGATCTACACAATTGGGAACCGATGATGTGTAAACCAAGTCACCGAGCCTGACCACCCGATCCCGTTAGTCCCCTCTGACAAGCGAGTGAGTTGGGTGATGGAATGTGTGAGTGGGTTGGGTGAAGAGTGAGTGAGTGGGTTGAGTGACGGAACAAGTGAGTGGGTGGGTAATGGCAGCAGTCTGTAAATAATCAAGTTTGGACCAGACAATCCAGTGATCAACAGCATGAGGATTGATGTACGTAACTGGGATACGATGACATGTGTCAACCAAGTCAGCGAGTCTGACCACTTGATCCCGTCAGTCGCCTCTTACGACAAACATGAGTTACTGTATATTTGTTCTTCTGAACATCTGACATATTTTCTCAGTTTGGTTTGAAATGTTTGTTACTTGTCCTTGAGAAGGAAATGCTGGTTTTACAATACTAAGCACAACCTTGGAGTTGAGTTACTTCCAGCATCGCTGAAAATGAGAAAACAAGAAGGAACTCCACAGACTGGACAAACGAGAAGTAAACATACCTCACGTTTCATCATGATTTAAGTCATGGGCTTACAACCTTTTCTCAGTCACCTTGGCCACAATAAACGCCCTCATGCCTGTTGATAGCACCTGCAGACCAAACCATGATCTCCAGGCATGATCAATAGTCTTGAAGCTACTGCAGACATGGCTCTGAAGCTTTATCTTTCTTTTGCATACAACAGTATGTCTACAATTTTTCAAAACTGTATATAAATACCTACAGGAATCACTAAACATCTAAAATTTGAATATTAGGTGCTAAATAAATATATACTAAAAATTATTAACTTCTTTGAGAGGCATTTAGATGTTGGAGCAGTAAGAAAGATAACAATTTATGGATGAACCTACACCGAAATGTCTCTCTCGTTGCAATAGTGAGTGAGTAGTTTTACGCCACTTTTAGCAATATTCCAGCAATATCACAGCAGGGAACACCAGAAATGGGCTTCACACATTGTACCCATGTGGGGAATCGAACACGGGTCTTCAGCGTGACTGGCAAACACTTTAACCACTAGACTACCCCACCACCCCTCTCACTGTAATAGAGAAGTTGTTCCTCCATATATTGTTATCCCTCCATACTAAATATTATTGTTATCCCTCCATACTAAATATTATTGTTATCCCTCCATACTAAATATTATTGTTATCCCTATGTTATCCCTCCATACTAAATATTGTTGTTATCCCTCCATACTAAATATTATTGTTATCCCTATGTTATCCCTCCATACTAAATATTATTGTTATCCCTCCATCCTAAATATTATTGTTATCCCTATGTTATCCCTCCATACTAAATATTATTGTTATCCCTCCATACTAAATATTATTGTTATCCCTCCATACTAAATATTATTGTTATCCCTGTTATCCCTCCATACTAAATATTGTTATCCCTATGTTATCCCTCCATACTAAATATTATTGTTATCCCTCCATACTAAATATTATTGTTATCCCTATGTTATCCCTCCATACTAAATATTGTTATCCCTCCATACTAAATATTATTGTTATCCCTATGTTATCCCTCCATACTAAATATTATTGTTATCCCTCCATACTAAATATTGTTATCCCTATGTTATCCCTCCATACTAAATATTATTGTTATCCCTCCATACTAAATATTATTGTTATCCCTCCATACTAAATATTATTGTTATCCCAATGTTATCCCTCCATACTAAATATTATTGTTATCCCTCCATACTAAATATTATTGTTGTTGTGTTTATCATTATTACTCCCATCCCCTGCATTTCTTAATTGGGCCTGACCAATATTATTTATTGTTTTTACGGATTTTTGTCCTTTTTGGGAAAAAAAAAAGAATAATCACCAATCAAAGTAATATTCCTTCTAAATACTACAATGTGTGAAGCCCATTTCTGGTGTTCCCCGCCGTGATGTTGCTGGAATATTGCTAAAAGCGGCGTAAAACCAAACTCAGTCAGTCAGTCTAAATACTAAAAGTATTCTACTTTTGGTAATTTATGAAGTGTATATGGGGCAAAAAGCAATCTAAAAATATTTTCTTGTAAGTTTACAATTTTGGCCATTACAAACATTAGGATTTTAATTTTTGAGAAGGGAAAATTAATCTATATTGTTTTTTCTTATTCTTGAAAAAAAACAACTGGCGGATCTGTAAAACAAGAAATAAAATTAGTCTGGCCTTGGCATGTTCAATACAAATACCTGAAAGAAAAATAGAGAATAGGTAGGTATTAAACAAATAAAGTCATCAATTTTGCTGGTTTGGAGTGTTGATAACATTCACAAAAGTGAAATTTTTTAACAAATAAAAGAATAACAGGAATCAATAAGAAAGTAATAGAGAACAGAGACACAATCACTCGGGTAGGAAATATCACATATTTATTCGCAATGACATACCAACAGAATATCCAACATGATGAAAATAAACTTGAAGTTGAACTTCATATATGAGCATTTAGATTTAGTCAGTGTTGAAAATACAAGAACATACAAACACTTAAATCATTCTTTAACGTGAGAAATTAAAAATTGGGCAAAATTGTGATGTAAAACGTGTGCAGGTGGATAACAGATGTTATATATGCTATTTTTGGGATTACATTTTCCCAGTAATGTACAGATTCTAGTACTTTTGTTTGGTTGGGTGGCATCCAGGACTCGAACCCACACTCCCAGAGTCAGGGACCTAATCGCCAGCACACTGAGTCAGCCATCTAACCCACTCAGCCACAGCTTCTTCCACAAGTGGAGTGAGTGAGTGAGTTTGGTTTTATGCCGCTTTTAGCAATATTCCAGCAATATCACGGCGGGGGACACCAGAAATGAGCTTCACACATTGTACCCATGTGGGGAATCGAACCCGGGTCTTCGGCGTGACGAGTGAACGCTTTCACCATTAGGCTACCCCACCGACTCAACCCAACAAAAGTACTAGAATCTGTACTTTACTAAGAAAGTGTAATCCCAAATAAAACATATGTTACATCTGACCACTTTCTAAATGGCATTGTGTAATCAAGTATAACAAATGGTTATGGCATCGCAACAATGTATCAGTAACTGCACATATAATTGTACCTGCAATGTCAGTATTTCTCACAAACATGAAAATAGATGGAAATAGAACAAGAAAGAATTGTGTCCAGGGACACGGATGCCCCCGCTGCTGTAGGAAGAGTTCACACATTCAGGGTCCCACTGAAGTACTTGAAAACACTAAAAACAATCTGTTGAGGGGTTAGATAACACAACCTATTATCATATAAAGATCAATAATTGAACAAAATTCACGAACAAGTTCAATAAACATCTATGCAACTACGAGATGCACACCTTTCGAGTCCCAATGAAACACATGTATAAGCTTAATCAATTCTGTTGAGCAGTTTTTGTGAAGTGGATAGACTTAATCCCCTATTTCACTATCATCAGAGAGAAATTCAAAACAATTTATCTAAGTTCAAATGTCTCTAAACATACAAAAAACTATAAAATACAGAAACAAAATATGAGATGCACACCTTGAGAGTCTTTATAAAAGACATATGTAAGCTAAATGAGTTTTGTGCAGTGGTTTTTGAGGAGAAGTGGATAACGTACACCCCCCTGTTGAATGGAACGAACAGGCTGAATAGAACAAAAATCAACTAAGTTCAAACATCTGTAAAAGTGACAAAATGAAGAAATTGCATAAAAAATTATGAAATGCACACCTTTAGAGTCCCTACAAAGACATGTAGAAGTTCATTCAATTCTGTTGAGCAGTTTTTGTGGAGAAGTGGATAGACTTCATCCCGTATTACACTATCATCATAGAGAAATTCAGCAAAATGTACTTAAGTTCAAATGTCTCTAAACTTACAAAAAAACAATAAAATACAAAAACAAAATATGAGATGCACACCATTAGAGTCCCAAGAAAGCCCATGTATAAGTTCATTGAATTCCACAGAGCGTTTTTTGAGGAGAAGTGGATAGAGTACATTCCCTGTTTCGTACGTACAGACGTACGGACGGACACGGAGGGTAACCCTATATGCCCCCAGCCATATATGGCGGGGACATAAAAAATGTAAATCAAATGAAATAACAGTTTCATCGACATATATGATTGGTATCAATGAAGGATATAACGTCTGTTAGCATTTAATCAGGAGAATTTTGAATACAGCCAATCGTAGTCAGGAAAAACCTGAATTATTTGTTGGTTTGCGAAGTTTCTTTCCTAAAACCCCTAGTCAGTGGTCAAAGTAAAACAAGCATAAAACTAAACCTTTGAAGTTAAATTATTAATTTGTCAACAAACATGTAGAATGAGAAAAAAAATCTTAATTTCCTATGTAACTTGTGTGGAAACTGTCAACAAAGGGATAAGTGTTGTGTGAGAACCTAATCACACATGGCTAGAAATACAAGTCTGTAACAAAAGATTTGAATCTACGAGCCTCGTCATCGCTCTGAATGGATGTTTAATCTTCAACACCTAACATGGCTCTAAACACCGTGTGGACTTATGTGTTATCACATAGGCTATTATTGGATAATCTGACAAGACGGGCACAAAGCTTCACTGGGCTCTGGCTTTGTACTAATGGCTAAAATCATAGCCTACAGGACAGGTGAATGTAGGAGTAGTAATCATAATGCCTTAATTTTCACTCTGAGCGAACGTTTAGGGGCTCACACAGCATGTGTGTGGCTTGGCTGGAAAACAACTCACATTTTGTTTTCGTCCTAAATGAGGCTAACAGAATTGGTGATCAAAACGTCAAATCTAATCCAGAACGTTTTTCTTTGCATTTCTCATTTTGACAGTCGACAGATCTTTAAACCAAATAACAGAAAATATATAACATCTTCATTCAAAGATATGATCTTGTTTGGGTTCATGCTCACTTTCATTGCCTATTGTACTGGTACACAAAATGCTTGAAATAGTGTCATTCTTTGCACTTACAATTTTCAAATCATTTGGCAATATGTGGAAAAGATTATCTGTGATAAACAAAAAAAGTAATCATATAAGAACAATCAAATCTAGACTTGCATAAGTCTCCAAGGTAAATAAATATTAATAGTTTAAATAATAATTTCTAAAAAATAATAAATAACAGACCAGGTCCTGTACTGTCCGCTTATCTAGACTTGCCTCTTCCAAGGATAGTATTACTGTACATCCAAGGGCTTAGCATTCAGTACAGCCTTGGAGCAAGGCTTAGTCAAAACCAAAGACATAAAACATTTTTCTGTTTACTTCTCGTTAAATGTGATTGTGGGACTTCATAATAGGACAGTATAATTAAGAGTTCCATTTCATCGTGTGCATCCAAAAGATGAAGTCAGTGATTGTTTGATTACAGATCAATACATGAAAACTATCACTCCACGAGCTCACTGTTTTCCACGAACAATCAACTATTAAGTCATCCCCACACACAACACACTGAAGCACATACCGGTACTCTTTAAATTGGAAAAGTAAGAAAATAGAAGAATAGAATCTCAGAACCACAACTGATTCCCCTTTTCAAAGATCGTTTTGGCCCTTGGCCAATAAGGCAATATGGAAATCATTTTTAAATATTATCAAATACATTTACATTTAGGTTGATTTAAGGTTACTTTCCTAATAATAAATGAAATAAAATTTCTAAAAACATTTCAAATTCAACATAACATATATTTTAGCATTTCTTTCCAAATTCAAACCTAAATAGTCAGCTCATTTTAAAACAATAAACTGACAGTGCTGGCCTTACAATAGACAAATGATTAGTCTCTGAATATCTATCATATAACCCATTTAAATTGAAAAAGAGCCCCAGAGAAATTCAGAGCCTGAGGAAACCTGCTAGGGATTTAGCATTGTAGAAAGGGCTGGGCAGTTGGGAAAATAATGTGGTTCAGGGACTGTGAAGCAGACTAGGCTTACAAACTATTCCAGATTATGACAGAATACCTTTCTCACCACCAAGGACTCCACTTCAAATCATCTTACAGTGCCCAAAACCTACAGACAAATATATCACTATTTGTGCCCTTCTTTCTTTACTTGAGGGAATCCTCCAAACATTCACCCAAAAGTGAAGAATATCTGCTGACATTTAACAGTCAGAGATGTCTTGAAATTGAATAACAAACATGAAATGCCTTCCACTGCACATTTAAGAATTGAAAATGAAAATCTAATAATTATTTTGTGATCATATATCTTCTTGTGGACTAAACATGTTAGCTTCTTATTAGATAAGCAGGTCGCACTTCCATGTGTACAACAATGTCAGCAAGGAACTGATCAGCATGATGCATGTTCAAAGGCTAATCTCCATATCATATAGGCAGACAAGCATAAAAATCAATAAGTAGTAGATCTATATTCAATCCAGTTTTTAAGCCACGCAATATTGATCAAATATTTAAGTACAATTTGTCCTGGTACCACTTCGTTATTTATTCCCCACAGTTGAGGCAATGAGGTATCCAGACTGTTTACCATTGACTTGAAGTTGATGTGAGCTCGGGTAAAAGTGACCTGTTTTCTTTTGGTTGTATTCATAGCCACTGAGGTCTGAGACGTCAGAGACTGACCGTTCTCGCTCACCAATTAAAGGGGCAGCTACACCGTCCTTTGGCGCCAGCATTGCAGGGTGGAGGTGTTTCAGTCCATTCATTTCCATTCCATTAATTTCATGAGCGACAACATGATGTTTACGGTTGCCATCGGCAACAGAGATGCTGAAACTCCGTGTCATTTTCCGAAGTTCCTCTTTGTTAAATACACACGAACAGAACAGTCTCCAGAATTCCTTGCGGAACTTTTTACCAAAAAAGTAATACGGCACAATATTGATTGCTGAGTTCATGATAACAAGAAAGTTGGCAACCTCACTTAGTGTGTGATACTGGGAATCAAGCTTAGCCAGAGAGCTAAATGCCCACATCATACGTGAGACAAGAGCAGGGCCCTGGCAGATTAGAAACACAACCACAACTCCTATCAACATTATCGTAGTGTCATTCCTACGCTTCTCACGCACATTGATCTCTTTGCCTTTTTTACGCGAGAGGTGCACTGCTCGTATGAGAAAGTAGTTAAGAACAGCGAGAGTCAAGAACGGTAGGCCACAAACACATATCAGATACAACCACGAGTGAACGATTTCTTTGAAATACTCGTTGTTCCCCATCTCTGTCAGCTCTATCATATACATCTCCATTGTCCGATTGTTCATATCTTCGTAAGTAATCTCCAAGGTGTTATATTCAAAGAACCGTGGCAGATTGAAAACAATTCCAGAAACAAACAACGACACGATGACTTTACGGGCTCTGCCCCGACTACACATTGTTTCAGCCCGGAAGGGGTGACATATCATGATATATCGGTCAACTGTAAACGCTAATGTCAACCATATAGACGTCACCTGGAAGGTTACAGCAATCGGGTGTACGTAGGGGAATATGAAGGCATAATACGGTTCCTCGAACAAATCCACTGAGAATTTCTGCGGGGGCTTGGTATCCTTAATCAGCATTAGCATTGTGACAATAAGCACGAGCGTGTCACACGCCGCCAAGGCTGCTAAATACATGTAGGTTGATGAACGCATGGACTTCGTTGTCAGTACAACAATGGACAAGATATTGCCAATGATTCCAAGGCAGCTTATCGTCATGCCGCCAACACCCATCAGATAGTAGGTAAGCAGCTTACGACTGAAGGAATCATCCTCGGTGAAATTTGGAAATTCCATTCTATACAACGTGTAGTTGTCGTAGGAACTGTTCACAGCTGTATCCGTTGTCGTCATTGTTACTTTTCCCGACAGAAAACTGAATGAGTATCCTTGCCCAGCTGTCAAGGTAAGGGTATTGATTTCATTGAAAATTGGTTGATCATGTTTTTATCTTGTTTTGTCACCATTCAGATCAAACGCTTCCAGCATCCCTGAAAGATGACAGATGGCATCATCGTGTCATCTGTGTCCTCCCTCTTTAAGTCAGCCATGGATATGCTTGTCTTTACTGATTCATTGGCCCCGAGATTCATGGACTGGGAAAACCCACCTGTGTCCAGGAATGATAACTCTGTACCTTCCCACACGCATATCAGAATTCAGCCAATCACAATCCAGTTATTTCATGAATCAACCAATCACAATTTCATGTAGCAACCAGTCACTACCCAGCTCCTGTTTGACTCGTATGTGACTTGACAGTTCTCGTCAATGGGCTGTCGAAGCAGGTAATCAATTTCTTGATGTAGTTAGGCTAATAATCCCGACATGCCTCTGTGAGTGTCTCTCATGATAATGGTTTCAGACAAATGTGTTTTTTTCACAGATAACAAACAAGGAAGCTCCTGATGTTGATAAGTCCTCTGAGACTGGAATCATTTGTTGATTCTCTGAATAAAACAATTATCCTTCTGTAGTTCAAGTATTACAACAGTACAAACAGATCCTTCTGTAGTTCAGGTATTACAACAGTACAAACAGATCCTTCTGTTGTTCAAGTATTGCAATAGTATTATAAGATCCTTCTGTAGTTCAAGTATTACAACAGTACAAACAGATCCTTCTGTAGTTCAAGTATTACAACAGTACAAACAGATCCTTCTGTAGTTCAAGTATTACAACAGTACAAACAGATCCTTCTGTAGTTCAAGTATTACAACAGTACAAACAGATCCTTCTGTTGTTCAAGTATTGCAATAGTATTATAAGATCCTTCTGTTGTTCAAGTTTTGCAATAGTATTATAAGATCCTTCTGTTGTTCAAGAATTGCAATAGTATTATAAGATCCTTCTGTTGTTCAAGTATTTCAACAGTATTATCAAATCCTGTTGTTCAAGTATTACAAGTTTTATCACACCCTTCTGTTGAGCAAGTATTACAACACTAATATCACATCCTTCTGTTATCTGTATAATAGTTATATCAAATCCTTCTGTTATCTGTATAATAGTTATATCACATCCTACTGTTCCTCAAGTACAAGGGCACAGTGTGATTGCCAGTTTCTGACACACCTGATTCAGAAGAAGACTGTTTTGAACTTTTTAAAAATACGTCATGAAAATTGGAAAGGGCAAAATTGAACTTCCAGAAAACACTTTGGTTGCCTTGTCACGACGATGCAATCTGCGTCGGCTTTCTGCAAATCCCACTTGTAGTCATGTCAATAATCATGTTATATAAGACGACATCCAAAGTCACTATCATTGATGAAAGCAGACCATTCCACACATTTGACAATTTCTTCTTTAAACCATCCTCACATATTCCATCTCTCTGTTGTAGACAGCATCCATTCTTTCTGGAATTAAAAGAAAAAAATCATGAATTGAGCTGTCCAAGCTTAAAGGGCATTTCTTAAGGAGTTGTGGACAATTTTAGTGAGCGAGCGAGTGAACAATGGATATTACTCCAAACTCCCTCTAGAATCAATAGCGCCGTACAGCAGTGTATTTAGAGAGCTATCTCGTACTCCAGCATCTAATTGCAGCAAGCGCTGATGTTTGGCTCTGTATTGAGGGACTAGGAGAGGTGTTGGCGTAGGTTGCTCTCATTGGTTGCAGGTGACTGTGTAAGGAGGGACTTAGGAGTCCGAGCAAAACAAATTACACAGACCAGTTGTGAGAGAGCAGGGTGCTGTGGAGGTGTGGAGGACAGGCTAGAGAGGTTGTGATGAAAACACTCTCTGAACATCTAAACATCTTACTCAGTGTTGGAACTTGCAGCACTATGCTGCCTAAACTGTTCTGACAATTTTCTAAAGCTTGAGCAGATATCACTAAGCTGCCTAAAGTGTTCCGACGATTTCCTAAAGCTTGGAACCTATCAGACTTAAGTAGGAGGAGGTCAAACATCTTCTAACCAGTTCAATCAAATGATCAATAGCCTATATTCTTTCTCTGCACTCTTAATATTGTGAACCTTGATTTGATTATTTTTGCTTCTATTTATAATTCATTTCCTATTTTCTTTCTATCAATAATAACTATTGATTTGTTGAACCTCCTTGTAATTTCAAGCAGGTGATTAGGAGACATAAAAACACAGTTGTGAAGAACACTGACATGTCAAACTTACAGCTATCTTGAGTGAGTGAGTGAGTATGTGTTTCCCCGCTTTTAGCAATATTCCAGCAATATCATGGCGGGGGGAAGGAGAGAAAGACACCAGAAATGAGCTTCACACATTGTACCCATGTGGGGAATCAAACCCGGGTCTTCTGCGTGACGAGGTAACGCTTTAACCACTACGGGGTGATGGGGTAGCCTAGTGGTTAAAGCATTCGCTCGTTTTCGGTGTCCCCCCTGCCATGCCATGATATTGCTGGAATATTGCTAAAAGCGGCTTAAAACCATATTCACTCACTCCATGGGCCCTGTAGTTTCATTCTTTGCACAAACAATATGTGGAAAAAAATCTTCTGTGATAAACAAGAAAAGTAATCACATAAGAGTGAGTGAGTTAGGTTTTACTCCGCTTTTAGCAAAATTCCGGCAATATCACAGTAGGGGACACCAGAAATGGGCTTCACACATTGTACCCAAGCTGTATCAAACTCGGCATGACGATCAAAGTTTTGACCACTAGTACAATGTGAATTTCACTCACCATGTAGGTACAATGTGAATAAAATTCACTGCATCACAATATAACGGGGGACACCAGAAATGGGCTTAAATGTAGGCACTAGACACTCAGATGAATAAGAGTTACCTGCCCCTTGTTTTTGAACCCATCAAGTGTAAAAACCTAAATTGAAAAACAATGACATGGCCTTCTCATTAATATCGCCCGAACAAACAAAGATATTTCACTAACCCCATTTGCGTCACCAAAAACTACATGCATATGTGAATTTTCGCCACACAATAATCTAATCCTAGTCACAATAAGCTCATATTTGTCACAGCGGGGGGATATATGAGGTCGCCAATTAATTACAGTCTATAAATGGGATACTGTTCCTGAATCTTTGCAGCGCTCACCTGCTATTTCAGCGGTTTCTTGTTCGACATATATATGATTTACTCCTCGCCCCAGGGAGTCATTAGAAACACAAGAAGCTAATTTCTAATCTGTGTTAATTGAACAGAGACACCGGTTAACTGCCCCAATGGACATCTCGAGCTGTTCATTAACATCAGTCCTCTTCCGTATCTTTACGTGTTTATTTGCTGTTGAAAACCAACATGAAACCTAGTTCTAACATGAACTAACGGGTACTTGAGTCCTTGTAGCTTCCATTAGCCATTGTCAGGAACCAACCATTGTGCATCATCAGTTTAAACTATTTCATTTACATTGTTTATTTTATTTTCCTGTTTTGTAAGAAGAACTGACTAAGCATAAATAGTTGACCCAAAGAAAGGAATGTCTGCCTGTTTATTGTAATATTAAATAAAATGAATGAATGAATTTAGTTCTACGCCACTTTAGCAATATTCCAGCAATATCACGGTGGGGATCAGCAGAAATGGGCTTCAGACATTGTACCCATGTGAGGAATCAAACCCCGCTCTTTGGCGTGGCGGGGCGGTTGGGTAGCCTAGTGGTTCAAGCTTTTGCTCGTCACGCCAAAGACCCGGGTTCGAATCCCCACATGGGTACAATGTGTGAAGCCCATTTCTGGTGTCCCCCGCCGTGATGTTGCCGGAATATTGCTCAAAGTGGCGTCAAACCAAACTCAGTCAGTCAGTTTGGCCTTGCGAGCAAACGCTTTAACCACTAGGCTACCCCACTTGCCCTGAACGCCTGAGAATAACCTGTCTCGTTTACCTGCCCAAGCATATTCCTATGGGTGTAAAAGGCAGATAATGGTGAAAACTGTCAGAATGAAACATTGTAAATCTGTGGAGACACCAGGTGTTCGAGAAAAGAGGTAAGGTCCTGCATTATCTAAAGTAATGATATCTAAACAGCAAGGAAAATAGATGTGAATATATTAATTCATTGCTGAAAATCTGTGGAGACACCAGGTGTTCGAGAAAAGAGGTAAGGTCCTGATTTATCCAAAGTAACGATATCTAAACAGCAAGGAAAATAGATGTGAATAATATGTGAATTCATTGCTGCAAATCTGTGGAGACACCAGGTGTTCGAGAAAAGAGGTAGGCAGGCACTGATTTATCTAAAGTAATATCTCAACGAAAATGAAAATAGTTGTGAGATTATATGGATGGATCACTGAAAATCTATGATGACACCAGGTGTCTTGCCCTACAGGTAGCATCTGCCTTCAATTTGCATCAAAAGGTAGGCGCTTGTCGCTTCGACATTGCACAGCATTTGAAAATCATTTGAAAATGGCATCAGTGATTTGGGATATGTGGTTAACATCTTAACTCACGTGACAGAAAGTTAATGGTGATATATTTGGCTCACTGAGGTAAGATGGGCCAGAATCGCTATCGTGGATTATGGGAATACATTCTGTGAGTGAGAATGGTTTCATGCTGCTTTACGTAGTACTTCTGTTTGTCTCGGCATGTTAGTGTAATGTTCGAGGGAACTCCAGAGTAATGAAGGTCTCCGAAACTGACCAATATGTTTTGAGTCCTCTTTTATGGCAGGTAGTCGAGTAGCCTAGTGTTTCAAGCATTGGTAAATCACGCCAAGAGCCTGGGTTGATTCCTTACAGGGGTCCATTTATGAAGCAGATTGCTGGTGTCCCCCACTACAATTTGGTAAAACCAGCTTAAAACCTGCACTCCCACTCATATTCATTTTTAAAAATATTTTGATTATCGTAAGAAAGATTTGCTGTGACAATATTTACAAGATTGAAAGTGTCATTGAACAGAGAGTGCAATTAGTGCAGATTTTAAATTTAAAACACGCAGTTAAGATATGTGCACTTTTTAGTATGGGTTTGAAATTAACTGCAGATACACATGTAATAACATTCCTCATAAACCCAATTCATTACAGGCTGTTTACTCTCTAACTTCTACTGGTAGATTAGCTGTCATACAGCTGGAATAATTCAGAGCGCATTAAATAATAAACAAACAAGCTGGTAGTTTAAGATTACAGTAAGACGCATTCAACAAATATCACCAAGATAGTTTCTGAATTTTCAGTCTAAATGACGCCTTCAAAAGTTTGCCTGATTTCAATTCCAAGTTTGTTGATTTTAATTTTGATATTTGGTTAGGCCTAAAAAAAAATTTGTTTACATTTCAAACATGTGGTCCTTTCCCACCGCGGCATCTGATATATTTCGTTAGATTTCACTGAAACACTTGGTATTGGTGACAAAGACCATTTGCCATTTTATTTTGAACTGTATGAGGAATTCAGGGATTCGTGTAAGAGTATGTGTGACGTGATTTTATAAACACTCTGCAATATGGCTGAAAATTCACTTTGACGTTAACTGTGTGTATTTCGTAATGTGTCATAACTGGCCAGATTTACGATGCATGTAATTTTCAGTATATCTGCCTTACAATGAGCGGATGATGTCATAGAAAACTGAACTTCAAACAGAATTAAAAACTCCCAATTGCATTTTTCTTCGTGATGTATTTGGATATGGTATTTATAGGTGGGAAGAGAGGAAGAGGTGGGACATATATTTACGATTTATGTAGGAATTTATGTAACAAAAGTAGAATGCTGACACATTTACCGATGGCAAGCTAGATGTAGTGCATAAACGTTTTAGTTTTTGTGAAAAACGATACTGTTGAAAGACGACCGACTCAGGTTGAATGTTGTACAATTTGGTTACGTGGTAACACTGTTTGTACAATGTATACGTTTTTTTCAAACTGCAACGTCATCACAGCGTGGAACTAACCACACAGCCAGCTGAAGACCAGGCAACAGCTGGATTAAAACAGCAGCCTGTGCATCGAGACACAAGAACCACACCTATACCTGCACCACTTGAAATGAGTCTAACAACATCATTCGTTTGTCGGTTTGGCACCAATGACTTCATTTCCAAGGGACATAAGCCATGTTGTGTTTATTGTAGACATAGAACTCTCGGTTCTATAACTCAAAATCGATATAACTCAAAAAATAAATCAGTTACTTCTGATATCTGTACTGTTTTGGCCATAAAACTACTTGACAAACACTTTTTATGATGACAAAGTGCAAGACAAAAAGGTTAATTTTCGTGTAAACTTGCCCTATAACTTTTTAGTGCCTATGAGGGGTAATAATGATCAGATTGTGCGTTTTGAGCAGGATATCTAGCCTGGAAAAGGTATGTTATAAATATTCTCATTACTATCTATTATAAAACTATTATTGACTGTAAGTTCATCATTAGCCATTTGACCTCAAGGGATGATTGCTGTTCCTTAAGTCACTAAGTGAACTTTCACGACCATTACAACAAAATAATGTTAATGAGCGTGTCAGCTGGCCTAATGACAGTATTGAAACGTATTCCAAAACATCGTGATTGTCGTTGAGGGTCGAGCAATGAAGTTTCTCAAATTGT